GTCTACCCGAACGAGACTCAATTTATTTTGGTTGCAATGCATGTGGTGAAGAACCAAAAGCTTTTGTTTATGAATGCCTCGAGTGCAACTTTAGCCTCCATACTAATTGTGCTATCTCTTGGGCTGAAACTGTGACTCGTGAAGATCACCAGCACTCTCTTACTCTCCAATATCAATGGCCATTTCCCATTGACGATTATGTGCATCTCTTTTGCAAGGTTTGCGATGGACTTTGCAATGATAGCAATTGGCTCTATTATTGTGCCGATTGTAAATTTAGCACTCACTTGAAATGCGCGACTCTTAAAAGAGAAGATGGTTCGAGCCTTGAGAACGAAGAAGAAGAAGAGGAAGAGAATATGACTAATGAGCAGAGATTGATGATGGCAACAATCAAAGCTCAAGGACAACAGGCAAGGCTTAACTTTCAAGCTCAAATGGCTTATATGAACGCCCAAACTATAACCAATATGTGGCGTAGCTCTCATCGTTATTAATGGTTCACTAGAGACGTATTTTAGTGACCGAAAATAATCGGTAGCTAATTTCGACGAAATAGCAACGGATTTATGCTCATAGGTCACAAACTTAAATAAAAGCTCTTTTCTTACTAGAGATGAGAGTCTCTGTGATTTATTACCTTAAACTTACAAGCTGGTTGATTGTTTTGGGAGGTGTTCCTCCCTCAATGTGTTATATATGTTTCTTTGAAAACTCCGTGCTGTTGTTTTCATTGGTTTTTCATTTGGTTTTTATATTTTAATTTTCACAATAAAAGAGTAAATCTCTTGTTAATTTGTTTCGTTTGAAGTGGATTTTTGATCATTGTGCTCAACTATAATTTAGTAGGCAAAAAAAGAAAAGAAAAATAGAACCCAACTAATACCATTCACCATATATACCTTTGTGTGAAACTGTAATCTCATGGTCCTTCCTACTTCTTTTTCCCCCTTTATATTATGTTCATGATCCACTCTTCCCTTCGAGAACAAAAATGATAAGAATTAAAGAAAAAATGGAAAATGACACGTACAATGTAAAATTGATAGTACTAATCTAAGCATGAAAGTAGGTCTAAGGCTGAGTGATCGGTTTGCAAGTTAGGGATGATATAAATGATTACTATATAATTTTGTTTCTGAGAGAATAATGAATATGACTATATGAGAGAACGAAACAGTTCGTTCCACTTTTGGTTTAAAAATTAAATTAGTTGGCACTAAATATCTTTTTGGTTTTATTTGAATCAAGCAAATAAATACTAGTCTAAATGAAACGTATAGTAGAATGAATTATTAGTCAGCACTATGATAATGAATGATCAAATGACAACATGGTAGAGCAAAAAGTCTAACAGTAGACTTTGACAGTAACTTCCATGAACCTCAATATAGTTGACTTATCAAAAAGTCAGTTCCGTATGCATAAAGCATCATGCGTTTATGTAGGATTTGGTGAAGAACTGCACCTATGGATTGTAATGTAGACAGTCTATTTTAATGCAAGTATTAGTAGTCGCTTCCACCGTTCGAACTCGTGACTTAAATTTGTCGAAATTGGTGGTCCGGTGGATTTAACTTCCTATTTATATCACAAACGACCATTTACAAAGCCAACTAGAATAAAGGTTCTTAAATAATGAGCTGTACGAGCAAATGAAAGTCTACTTGCACAATGCCTCTCTCAAGCTAGCATTATCTATATGAATAATAGCAAAAACCTTCATAATGCAATTACGCCATTTTAATCAGTCAAATTATGCTAACTAAACTACTTTTGAATAGCAATTGGCCAAATTGTTGTCGGAGACGACTTACAAAATAGATTAAAAGAAGATGAAAACCAAGTCGTACGTTGAAGCAAGCAATCAATTAGCACTGCCAAATTATTAGTATCATATTCTAGTTAAATATATAGGGTAGCTGTAAATACGAATACAAATTAGCTAGTGTAATCACTGAACTTGCTATCTCTCTAATATATATTAGCCAGTGCAATCACTGAACTTGCTATCTCTCTAATATATATATATATATATATATATATATATATATATATATATATATATATATATATATA